GGACCCTCCGGGGGGGCGGCCTCATGGCGGCGTTGCTTCTGACGCAGATTCTCCTCGACCTGCCCGGCAGGAGAGAACATCGGGGCAATTCAAAGGCCGTACGCTGATATATAACCGGGTTAGAGTGCAGTCGGATAAAATTATCTCTCATTTTTCATCTGAGTAAACATCTTAAAAGCTATTTGGAAACTTAATACAATTTTAGACCATTGTTAAAATTAAGCGTGATTGAAATTTAACTGTTTGCCTCAAGGTGTCTCCTTAACCCTTTAAAGCCTGATCCAAGAATAAAACAAAACAGAAAATTACTTTTATTTTGTTTGAAGTCTTTATTTGGCCTTTTAACAAAATATGTAAAAAGAAAAGGCAGAAATACATTTTTGATATTAATAATTTATTACTATGCGATAAGTCAAGATTATTTTTTGTGTAGTCTTCTGCCCCATGTTATCAGGTGTATCTGATTGTGTACAATAGGATTTTGAGCCAAATTTTTACCACTAAATTATGCAAAAGGTGTCAGAAGCAAAACACTTCAGAAACCGTGTGTATCAAATATGATACATTTGGAATTACAGGGTTAAGACCTTAAAATCCACATTTCTCTTAAAAAAATATTAATTTAAGGTGATTATTCCATATTCAAAACGTCCGGATGGGCCCCCATCATGTGACGGCTTAAACGCACCTTCATGAGGTTGTAGTTTTTGGTCTCCATGGCCGCCTCCCTCCTCTTCTCCATCTCCAGGCTGTGGAGCTCTGCGGCCTTGTTGTTCATCTCCAGCCTGGTCTGCTCGTAGTGAAGCGCTGAAGGTTGGGGAGAGAGGACGGCGTGTTGGTGGCGTGCCGTCGCTCACCGTCGGATTCAACAGAAGAAGAATAAAAGAAAAGAAGCCGCTACCTTCCAGCTCCAGCCTCTGCCTCTCGGCCTGCCGCTCGTCCTGCTGCTGGGCCAGCCACTCCCTCTGCTGCTCCCTCTGTCTCCCCCGCCTGCTCCCGCTCTCCGGGTCCTCGCCCGCCAGCCCGGGGAGGATCATCTGCAGGTCGGCCCCGGCCGGGTCCGGGTCCCTCTGGGGGTCCGGGTCCGATCCCGGGTCCTGCTGGCCCCTGAAGGCCAGGGCGGCCGTTTGGGCGGCTCGCCGCGCCCTGGCCTGCCTCTGCTGGAGGAGGAGAGCCGCTTTGCTGTGCTGGAGCACATCGGCATCTGGGAGGGAAACACCAGCCACGTCCATCATTTGGGAAATAATTAGATCCTGCACAACACTTCAATAATAACAATAATAATATATATAATAAATCAAAACAATGATGATACACATGATTAATTGATAATTCATTAATTAATACACTGTTCATTAACACATTTAGCTTAAGGACAAATTATGGCACATTATTCAAGTATTGTTTTCTGTTTAGTGTGTCTTTAGAAAAAAAATAAAAACTTCCACAGTAAAGGCCGTTCAGTGAACTCACCATACGCCATTTGTTCCTCTTTTTCGGCCTCTTCGCTTCTCTTTTTTTCTTCTACCTGCATGTCTAAAGCCTCCTTATCCACCTGTGGGGCAGACGGGGGCGTTGGGGGGTAAATAAAGGGGGGAGGGGGGAGAGTAAAGGGGGGAAGGGGGGTAAATAAAGGGGGGAGGGGGGTAAATAAAGGGGCATTTCGGCCACCCGGCCGCCACAAAGGCAGAAACTCACCCCGTTGGTTCGCTCTTTTTCGTTAAAAATCCTCCCCCTCCTCTCCTCCTCTCGGCCGCGACGCGCCTCCAGCTTCATCCTGGCGACTCGGTCCGAAACCAGCTCCGCGTTCAGCATTTTGGCGTCTGAAACTTGTTGTTTTTCTTCGGACGGAATCAGCGGTTCGAGCTTGGGGTCAAACAGCGCGGTTGCTAAGAAACCAGAGCGTTCGTGAGCCTCCGCCGGAGCTCGGCTTTCTCCGGTGTCCCATTAAAAACGAATAGAAACTCAAGATTACCCAGAATGGGTCATAAGGGGTGTCAAATCACATTTTCTATGAATAAATAAGATGCTTTACTTATGATTACCTTTGACCCACTGATCTGACTTAATTTCAGGTTTCAAGACTCTTTTAAGACCTTTATGAAAGTGTGTTGTGGCTATTATAGGCTCCTCATAAACTTACAATTTATAGTTCATGGTCTGAATGAGTGTGAAGTGCAAAGGGCTGTGGATGTTCTGCATGGAGCAGTGGAGAGGGAGGTGTTGCAGGTAGTGGGGATTTTATGAGGGCTCCTCGTGATGGCTGATCTGAATAAGGAATCCTGTTTTTTATTTGTCATGAAGAGGGTGGGAGTGTTTGTCTGTGGATATCAGTTTGCTCCATCACGCCTTGCCCGTCTCAGAACCAGAACACTCAAGGATCTTGTGACATTAGGAAAGCATTATGTTTCAACATAAGTCAACAATTTAAACAAATTACTCTTTGTTAAAAGATTAAGTGTGTAAACAGAGCTGTCGAAACGTTCAGCCTGCTGCAACACACCTGGTTTTCCCCTTTATTATGAGTCCTGATCCTTCCGGCTACTGGAAAATATGGAATTAGTTTAATTTCAGTGCGAAAAAAGTCGGTTTACATGGAAATGATGTATCTATACTAGTCAAAC